AAGGTACATTTGTTTTTTTTTTATGTAACTCTACAGAACAAGTTACACCTTGTACTTTGCATCCTCCACTCCCAACGTTAATGCATGATATGGCCAAAAGTATGTGAACACCCAAACAAACTGATCATTGTATAATAGTCTCTTCCTCCACTCCACTCCACCTTTTGGGGGATGTGGAAAGAGATACGGTTTGCTGATTTGTAGCCTCTGGAAAAGATTCATTCTTGCAGCTCTACTGTATATACAGTCTAATCCTCAAGACATTAAAACCATTCAGTCTGCACTTATTTGTTAGAGTGTTTTGGGGGTCTGCCAGTGCCCGAGAGTGGTGCAGACCTCTTTAACCTTCCCCGGAATCGTACAGTACACAAGCAGCCATGTATACACAAGCCTTCAATATCCTTATTTTCATTTATACTGAGTGAAGACAGGTCCCTGCTGGTGATTATCTTGTTGGCACAAATGACCTATATGGGCATATTTTGAAGGAGGACAGTCTTGACAGTTCTTATTGCAGTTGTTCCTAAACTTTGCAGTACAGAAACACTAACCAGATGCAAGTAGCTCAAATACTGGATAGAGCACTTGAGATGCATCCAGGGTATTTTTCCTTGCTATTTTGATAACAGTTTTGTTGAATATGGACTGAAGGGAATGGTGGTCACTCTGTAAATGTGTGCACCAGAAGGTTCAGCTGAGACATGAGGGTAACTGTCAGATTACCAAACCAAGCAGATATTCCATACAGGACAATAGATTCAGTTATAAAACATCAGCATCATCCTCTGAGCCACTGCTGAGCCTGCGGAGGAAGTCCGGTTTTTGCTGTACCTTTTGACACAGTTTACCAACATGTGTCCACACCCAGACCATAAAAAGGAAGGCTAATTCATTACTGTGTCAAGTTATCTCCATATAAAGTGTTTTAATGATTTCTTGATAGTTTTCAGGAAAGACCTTTGTAATTTGATAATGAATGGGTGATACTGTAGAGGTCTGAGGCTGCTATTTTAGCTGTGCTGAGTTTAACAACAGTTCATCATTTCCAGAACCATTTCCTCGAAGGAACTGCTTCATTTAAACCTAAGCAAATGAATAATTTAAATGTGTACCCGGTGTTGTATCTGTAATTTGCACCACAAATTGATAAATATTTCAGACAGAAAACAAATGACCTAGAAACTATTCCTTTAAGAATATGTATGAAATGTTTACTTTAAATTCCTTTGATATTCTATAGACTGGCTAAACATTTTCGTCATTAACAAGATCCTCCTATCTGGTTATCATCACCCTGTTGCCAGAATAGATGATGCACAGTGAGTCATTCATCATGCTCTACACATTGACGTTCACACTGCTGCTGGGGAAAATTGCTCTCTGCAGAAACACACAGAGATAAAAAAAAAACACTCAAGCCTTTTAATTACGCTTCACAACCATTTGTCATTCCATGTAATATCCAGTCATTCTTTATAAGCACAGGTGAGTAGATGGCTTTGTGCTAAACAAATTGTATCTGTGGATTAATGGCAGTATTTGAGACTGGTCTTGGATGTGGGGTCTCAATTGATTCATTATTAAAACATATACATTAATATTTATATTTGATATCTATATATATAGACTACAGGAGCAGTATCTGTGTAACAAATTTTGTTTCTTTCTATCACTAGTGCAATGTCTTCAAAGTGTAAATGTAGAATATGTTTCAGATTACTATGACCAAAGTTGTTGACAGCAGTACTGGGGTCACAGATTTACTTCCACATCACTAAAGCAGTGAGTCACTGTTGTGTATCTGACATTTGCATTATTCGGGTCCGTTTCAGTTACAAAATGTTCCTCTATTTAAATGGATTTTCAGAAACAGACAGGTGCTGCAGATTTAATCACGACACCATAGTTTTGCTGATGGTTTTTTCTTAAGGGCAAAAACACAGACTAGGATAAATCCACAGTTTAGAATGCTGCTGTGACTCCAGCCTGCGTTGTAAAGAGTGTGTCCTATGGATGCCCTAACCTTGCCGTGTGGATAGCAAGCTGTGATAGCAGAGTACTATACATCACTGTCAGAGCACAGACTGGTTCGGCCACATGCAGGTAATCTTATTTGTCCCAGACATATATGATGCCATTTGTTCCAGGTTTCTTGCAAGCCCAGCAATAAAACAACAATTTGTGCTGCATTTTATGCATATGTGTTATTTCCCAGACGCAGCGGTTTTTTTTACAGTAGCGTTTCTGTATCTCTGATTTGCATTCAGCTGTTCCCTCTTGATCCCTTTGTGAATGGTTGTATAATAAATGTAATAATCTAAGACATCTTTAGGTATTATTTACTGCATTTTAAATGGCTACAAAATGTAAAAGAGACATTTCTCCTGTCACAGCATGAAGAACAATTTAAGAAAGTGCATGACAAGATATCATTTTCTTGTGGTGATTTCGCACATTTAATGGCATATAGCTCTAGTTTGCTCTCTGTTGTCATCCCAGGTGTGTTAGCAGCAGTCTTCTGTATTCTTTGACTCCATTATTAGACCCTGGCTCTCATTCTTGTCAGGAGTTTCTGGTTATATAACATGACGTAACTTCACGATTTGCAGCTTTGCTGAAGGATGAGACTGATGGATCAGCAGCCTTTTACATGAATTCAATCACAATCTGCCCTCTAGGATCATGTTCCTTTTATGATCCTGATTGTCCATACTGTAAATCTCTTATGTATTCTGCACACACAGCATCAATACCTTGTCTGTCCATCCTGAATGAGGGATCCATCCTTCCTGTTTTGCTCCTCCATTTTTCTTTCCTGTTAAATGTTTTTAGGGAGTTTGTGCTTATCCAGTTTGATGGTTTAAGGACAGAGGGTGTCATATGCTATACATATTGTAAAGCCCCCTGAGGCATATTTATGATTTGTGATATTGAGCTATACAGTAAAAATAAAAATTGACTTGGCTTTTAGTGCTGTACATCAGTTTTGGTATTTGCTTTAGCAGTGATTTGTGAATTATAGATGTGGATTATGACAACAGTTTGTTATATATTTCTAACTTGTGCAAAAATGTTATTTGACAGACAAAGAGATTGAAGTCATAGCCCCAAGTCTGCACTCAGACCATGTTTTTTTTGTCTGTGCTGGGTCAGTGGTGTATTAAAAGTTATGTAACAACAACCTTCCTACTCCACAGAAATAGTCAGCATATCTTCAAGAGCTTAATGGCTTAAAAGAAAGTGGGGGGAGTGAGGAGATAAAGTTTAAACACAGAATAAGAAAGTTTGTAATTGTACTGCTTTCTGGGTCAAACCAGAATCAAATTGGAGATTAAATCACAGCATAAATCCTACAAATATTTAGTTAAGCTAAGATGTCCAGGCTGGCCATAGATGAATAATACAGAGATGATAACACACTACAATCATCCTCAAGAGTCCCATCTCTGGACATGTTTGGGAAATCAATCAATGTCAATTAGAGCAGTGTTGAAAGTAAACCACATCCTGGGAGTCAGACGCTGCTTCTCCACTTAACAGCAGGCAACACAATTATCCTCCAAAACCCTATAAAGTGCTCACAGTCTGAGAGGATGAAATGGCGCATATAAAAGGCTCGTACTGTTTTTTTTGTTTTGTTTTTATCTATACCACTATCAGGTTCCCTCCTGAGCAGGACTTCTGCTGAGCATGAGACAGGAGAGCTGCACTGGAAGTCTTTCATTTTCATTGTCTTTCATGTTGTGATCCAGTTCCTGTCAGACACCATAGTTTGGGATGCCATTCCTCAAAAATTCACTTATCTTCAAAGCCCCTTTTGAGCTGCCCACCACTGTTCATACTCATTTTGATATGTCACTGCTGAGGTGGAGGTAAGCAAGCGCTCCAGAAGTCCTTACTGAGTCTGCACAGCTTCTTCCTCTCCTCTCCCATCTTCCATAGCAGCCGAGTCTGAATTAGGCTCTGAGACGTGGGAGCATAATCACATTTGACTTGCAGTGTGAATTACAGGAGCAGGGTGCAGATCCGTTCTCCCACATCGCTTTTGTGATGCTATATTTGCTACTCCATTTGCATGAACACAACACAACACTTACATCAGTGTGAGCCTCAAGGAAAAGAACATTCAAACAAAGACTACAAAGAAAGACAAAGCTCCCAGCTTGTAGATCACATACCTGATACAGACACGTTGTTACACGCTTTATGGTATATTTTATAAGAAGGTAAAAAGGTTGGGATAATTTGCACTTAATAGTGAACATTGGCTTGTAATACAAACTGAGTTTTATTAACTGAAAAATATAATTAGTGTTTTATGATTCCTTCAGGGTGGTGTTTTGTTGTTAATTAGTGAAGAGAGGTGAGTTTCATACACAAAACAATTAAAATTTCTTCACATCATGTAGAAAAAACACTGAAAAACAAATCCAGCATTAAAGGGCATAAAGCATTTCAAAGCTGTTTCAAAACTGTGTGGATGGATTGTATAAATACAACGTGTCCCTGTCATCAACAAAGCTCTTGCAGAAAGAGAGGATTTTTTTCAGGAGTATTCATTTCATGCTTGTTTGTTTTTTGTCCAAATGCAGTTGAATAGAAAATGTCTTGTATTTGTATGAAAGCCAGTGCATCACTCTGCTTTGTATGTGTTAATATCAGTGATGTCATATTTTGCTTGCGTGCTTAGTGCTTTTGTGTTCTTGCTCTTTGTGGTCCCAGTGGTGATCAGTTTCTGTGGCAACATGGTTTTGAAAATAGCTCCTCTCTCTAACGGCCCACTGTTGTCACAAGTTCTGCAGGCTGCAGCCCACTACTGACGCATGACTCACTCATTGCTCATTATCATCCAGCCCAGTCTCCCCCTGCTTGGTTTATCTGATGGAGATGGTGTGTGTGGGGGCGGGGTAGTAGCGACTATAATACTGGTGTACCCCTGCTCTGATTGGCTGGTGGGATGCATTTAATCTGCAGTGACTACTACAGGCTTCTCCCCTGTACTCCTCCCCCTCGCTCTGCCCGCCCTGAAAACATCCGTACACAACAGTGCGCTGTCTTTTTTCCAGGGAGAATATCAGCTCGGCACAGGGAGGAGAGGATTAGTGTAACCACTCAGCTCATCTGCATACATGTTCCCAGGGAGCCACATGAGCACGGCTGCACATCCTTCATATAGACCTGACAATCCTGTCACAGAGGCGCCACTTGATCTGCTGTCACTGCTACCACACAGTTTCACAGGGACCAGCGTTATCTTTTTTTTTTTCTTTTTTTTTTTTTTTCTTTTTTTTATTCTGAGCTCTTCTAAATGATTTCCAGACTGTTTTTTACAATTGAAATTTGTTGTGATGTCTCTATTTAACTGGAACAATGCATGCAATATTGTTTGATATGGACTTGCTCTAAGCTTTGAGGAGTTTTCCCTTCCTTTTTTGGACTTTTCTACTTGCTCCTTCATCTGGTTTGGGAGTCTGTAGCAACAGAATGCCATCTAGACAGTCTTATGAAGTGCGCAAGGAAGACAAGTCCCTGGTGCAAAAGGCCAAGCGAGAGGCCAATCAGGAGGATATTCTGGCGGCAGCTCTGGGGATGAGGATGGGGCCACAGAAACCTCCAGCGACTTTCTGGCAGCCACTTAAACTATTTGCCTATTCACAGCTCACCTCACTGGTCCGCAGAGCCACGCTGAAGGAGAGTGAACGGACACCCAGATCTGAGAAAGTCCACAACTTCAAGGTGAGAATGAATCACAGTAAGTGGAAGAACTCTTGTCAGCGGTTGTATATGTTGCTGTACTTTCATCATGCCTGGCCAGACTGCTGCCTGTCATGCCCATGTGGAAAATGGGGGTGTGTAGCTAAGTGAGAGAGAAGGGATGAAAAACAGAGTAGTTCCGGCTTGTCCAACAGGCCTTTATCAAAAGAAAATCTGTGGGGTGGTCTGTGGACCACCACTGTTAGTCAGAGCACCAGATGGAGAGATTAGGCTGATGGAGAGGGGGACAGTGGAGGAGTATATCCCCATTTGGCTCAGACTCACTCTCCTGGTTTGGCTGCATAATAGGATGGAGAACAGGGGGATGAAATATTACCTTGAAGGCTCTCAAACTGCTCGCTGGCCACTGTTTTCTGCTTTGTTCTCTAGTACTGCTGAATGTTGTATTGTGCTGTTTAAAGAAAGCATTTTAATGCATTACTGTACAAAACATCAGATTTTCAGTTTCAAAACATTCCAAATTGAGCACAGCTAAAGCACCATTTTCAATTATGCCTTGCCTCCTGTAGCTACCGTTGACTTAATGCACAGAAACTGGGAGAGTGGTGACTTGCTCTTGTTCTCAGAGCCCTCCCCGATTGGCTGTGCTGTTGTTACCTGGTGGAGTGTGGGGGCTCCCTCTCGACCTCCCGCTATTCCTGTAGCTAATTTCTCTGACAACTTGCACCTTCACCCTGGTGAAGTGTCACATCCTACTTCACCATTATGGCAAAGCCTCCCCTGTGTGGATTCACTCTCGCATCCAGCTCAGTGTTGTCAGTTCGGGGCCCTGTTTGGACAGCAGTCCTCCTCCACACACAGATAATCTTCCTCCTCCGCCTCAGTTAAGATGGCAGCCCCTACATGTGCTCTCACCTGTCATTGCTCTTTATTTATATAAGCTTTCAGGGTTTTATCTCTCCTGCACAAGCTGTTGTTATTATGAATTTATATGCAACTGAGAATATTAAGCAAAACGATTATGAGCGAGTATCTCTGTCTATAAAATGACACTAATGTCTGTCACTGTCCTGCTCTTTGTTGCAGGTGCATACCTTTCGGGGGCCTCACTGGTGTGAACACTGTGCTAGCTTCATGTGGGGACTGATGGCTCAGGGGGTCAAATGTACAGGTACACCTTGTTCTCAGCTACATATGCCTCTGCTGTTAGATTCATGGTGTACAAAATGAGCATGACTGCGTATGGGTTATTTGGTGTTTTAGTGCATCTGGAGATGGATTATTGAGTTTTAATCTAAAATCCCAACAGTAGTTTGAGGATTATGGCGAAATGAAGGCTCTGTGCTGCTGCCACAGTGTGATGTAACAGATACTGTATGTTACAGTATGTTAACACCTTATTTTCTGAACCTACATTTATCATTAGGTTTACAAATGGGGTAATTAGCAGAAGAATGAGTTTTCTGTGATGCTGGTGCCGACAGATTATTTCAAAATAATCTAAAAGTAGATCTTTATTCTTTTCACAAATAAGAACAAGATGTTTTCAGCTTATGGCGAAGTGTTTCCTCACACCTCGTTGTCATTTCTACACTAAAAATGGATGTGTGTGTTTCCACCTCCATTTTAATGGATAAACATTAGCTGAATTATACAGTAAAACAGACAACAGTGACAGTAGGCTAACTACAGTTTCATGCATCTGACAAAATCATGTTTTTTGGCTTCATTTATTTATGTCATGAGCTCCTCATTGTATGTGCATTTTTTTAAAAGTGCAGCATTTGTAATTATTTTTTTACTTAACAGATTTCACACACACACACACACACACTGTTTGTCCCTTTGCTTGATGAGATTTCTGTTTCACTGCAGTTACAATTCCTTTCCCATCCTAGAATAGTGCAATAATATAGTCTGATGTGCATCTTAGATGTTTTATTGATGAAACAAAGTGTGTCACATAAAGCTGTGGGAGCTCTTATATCAATTATTAACGATTATGAAAGCTGACAGCACCTGGAATAAAGACACACATGTCTGGAGCTGGTCTTTACTGACTCTTGTATTGCCATTCCTTCAGACCACTACTACCAGAATCTAGGGCAGTGAAATCTCACATGATGCTCACATTTGCATACCAAAAAAAAAAAAAAAGAAGTTCTCCAACCCCCTCGCTCTCTCTTTGTGTGTGTGTGAACTGGTTTTGGCTGATTGCCAGGAAGCCAGCCTCTGCTTGTGCTAGTTGTGCCACATTTCCTCATCAGAGTACGCCCCCCCATCAGCCTCATCCCATCATGCCCGTGAAGGAAAACAAAGCTGGCATGTCTCTTTAATGAGGAGCAGAGCTCGGAGCGTGGGGAAGGAGCTCTGTTTCCACACACATTAAAATTCAGCAGCTTCAACTAAAGAGCTAGGTCACACAGCTCAACCCTTAGTTAACTCAAATACTTAAAAAAAATCTAACAAATACAAGTAGTGCTTTTTGTTTTCACTCAGAAAGAAACTGGTTTCAACTGGTAACTCTGCTTTTTAGACATGGTGATAATGTGCTGATTAGAAATTAGCGGCCAGCCGCCATTAACCTTCTTCTCAGAGCCCTTTAGTGAGAACTGAGCTGCAGCTTTTTCTTCATAGCAGCATAGATAGAGCTGACAATGCAGGAAAGCAGCATTTCATTTCTCCTGGCTCTCCATGTCCCTTGGGCCCCTACTTCACCCTCACCCACCCCACCTGGGACCCAGGGCCATCAGTGTGCTCACACAAGAGCTCGGCAGAGATGTGTCTGATGACAGGCCCTGCTCTATTACATTGCCTGTCTCCTATCCTTAAGAGAGTAATCTCTTAAGGTAATTACATCTCTGCATCAGTTCATGTAAATGCAGGCTGCTTGAATTTCTCCAGGGACCCATATAAATCAAAATATTGTCTGAGGTCCCACAGAAGCACAGAGTCTCAGTTTTCTGAAGGGCATTTTTATGTAAAAGTAAAAAGCAGAAATTCTTCTCAGGAATCAAAAAGCTATTGTTTTATGTTTTTTGAATTAAAAAGCAAATTTGTATAAAAAAATAAAAACCTTTTGAGATGGCTCAAATGATCTAAGAGCTTGAACACCAGCCCCTTTTAGTCTGGGAAACTAGGTCTACTGTAGCCTGCAGCATCTCAGTTGTTACTTCCTCAGCCAGTGTATGTGAGCCTGAATTTGGAAAAGAATAGAGCACACAGCAGTTCTGACTGTCCCTCCTCCAGGCCATAGCATTCTCGGTGTTCATCTAAATCCTTCTATGCATTTCTGTTATGAAGCAAAGCTGCAGTCTCTCTGTACCTCTGGTCTCCACGGGCTCCTCTGTGCCCTGCAAGGTGAATCCTGCCCTGAAACAGCTGTGCCTCAGGCTGTGATTGCTGTAACTGATGACAAAACACAATCTGGGATACTTCCATTGACATCATGGCTAAGATTTAAACACCCGGTGAAGTGTCAGAAAATACCATAAAAGGTGACTCTAGTGCCATGTGTGGTAGAAAGACAGGAGCTCTCCAGTGGTCTTGTGATATTTAGGCGGTAAATATTGATCAAGCAAGCCAAAACACACATAATACCAGCCAGCCCTATCGAAATTTATGTACTGTTGAATCTGAATTTACATAAAAGGCCTCAGTTCAAAGATAAAATGCCTGAACCTGAAGGAATATCTCAGTTGATTTTGTATTCTGATCAACATACTGCTATGAACAGTATACATCTGCCATTTTGACGCTACTAATCCTGCTCTGTGTCTTTGTTTTAGATTGTGGTTTGAATGTCCACAAGCAATGCTCATCTCTGGTACACAGTGACTGCAAGCCGGACCCCAGACACATCCGCAAAGTGTACAGCTGTGACCTCACGACGCTGGTGAAAGCTTATAACACAGCGCGACCAATGGTGGTGGACATGTGCATCCGTGAGATTGAGTCCAGAGGTTGGTTGATGTCATTTAGAAATAAATATACTATAACTTTGATCTTAATTTCTTGCTGTTTTGTTTTGTTTGTTTGTTTGTTTGTTTGTTTTTGTAATTTTAGACATTTTTAGAGTATGCAGACCACAATGAAAATTCTAAAATAGTAACCCTTTAAAATAACATTGTAAGGTTATGGATCTGGTTTAGCAGATTTCTTTAAATTTTTTAGTAAGTCATCTACAATAAATGCAAATCTTTTGAGGTATTAAAAGTCTGATTATATTACTAAATGATTTTTTTTTGTTTTGTTTTTTGTGGGGGATTGACCTGCAAGTGTGATGAGTGTGCTGCCTTACTTGATTGCATTTCAGTTAAATCATTCAGCTATGCAGGAAACTCATTGCTCCCTCATTGTCTGCCCTCTAATAAACATCTGTAGCTAAGTTTGATTTATGTCTTTATTATTTTGCCCAGTGATGCAGAAAACTACAGTATATGTATCTGCCTATGTTGTTCCATTGTGTAATACGGTCTTAATTTCTTATGCATACAATATTTAAGGGTGTTTAATGGCATTTCCTATATGCAAGTGAATTTTTCTACATTACTTGTGACAGCAATGTCACTGTCTAAATGATGTTTTTCTCCTGCTTTCCCTAAGGTCTGAAGTCTGAAGGTCTCTACAGGATATCTGGATTTACTGATTCAGTTGAAGAAGTCAAGATGGCTTTCGACAAAGGTATGTCATACTTGTTTTATAGATTTCTGTCAACTCACAGCACGACGCTTGACATTGCCTGTTTACATATGTTTGCATAAGACGCACAGAGCATTTCAGATGCATGAGAAAGTGACACATTTGTGAAAGATTAGTGTTCATCTGGCATTGCAGATCCTATCCTGACATGTCCCTCTCATGCAGGGTTTCATGTATGGACAGACAAAGGGGGACCTGGGGGAATACAAATCATGGGTGTACTCTCACTGCCTGAAACACAGCTATAAAAAAAACACCTCCTCCTCTGTGTTGGGATTCAGTACTAGACTTAGTGAGAATGAGCCTGTCTTGGCCCAGTGCAATATGAATTTTAACTGGAAGAAAAACCCTGCAGCAGTGGGCTAAACTCTTAGCCAGATCCACATGTGGGATATCATCCATGACAGAGTGTCATTCCAGCTCACAGCACTGAGATGTTCAGTCTGCCAGCACAAGTAGGCCACGGCCTGCTCTGGAGAGCATGCATAACAGAGAGAGAGAGAGAGAGTCCGAATAAAACAGCCCAGGCAGATGATGGCAGCTACTTTGTAAAAATTTCAGAGCAAGAGTAGAATTTGTTTAGACCCACTATAAAACTGTCTTTTTATTCCTCAATCCATACTTTGATGTGCTGATGTGAACCACTTCTACAGTGTGACCATTTTCTTCTCGTCTCCCTTATTTCATCACACATTCTGACCATTTTCTTCTCGTCTCCCTTATTCCCTTATTTCATCACACATCTACATAGATGGTGAGAAGACAGACATCTCAGTGAACGTCTATGAAGACATCAATATCATCACGGGTGCACTGAAACTGTATCTCAGGGATTTGCCTGTTCCCGTCATCTCATACGATGCTTACCCCAGGTTCATCGAGGCTGCAAGTAAGTCACACCGGGACAAATAATTCAGAAACAAACCTGTTGTTCATTGTTAATTTTCCTTGCTTACAGTTACAATTGAAGCAGAATTATGCAGACCCATTTCTCAGCCAATCACTTTTAAACCCTGCACTGACAATTAAGTCCTGAGAAAGTGTCCAGCTCTGATTTTGGATGGTGTATTCTGGTGGCTTTAACAGCATCCTCTTTTCTGTTTCCCAGAGCTCACAGACCTAGAGAAGAAGCTTGAAGCTTTCCGTGAGGCTCTTGCTCTGTTGCCGCCATCACACAGTGAAACGCTCAAGTACCTCATGGCACACTTAAAAAGGTGAGCAGTTCACTCGAACTCAGTGAGTAATTTTCATACTAAGGGGCG